TTTTGAACATCGTTTGTAAATCCAAATATATTACATCTACTGGTTCCCTTTTTTCTATTCCACTTGTTACCTTCTCATAAGAATTCTAATGAATTTGTCAGACATTATTTCCCCTAATGAAGCCATGCTGACTCTGCATGTTTATATTATATTCTGCGATTCCATCCTTTATAATAGACTCTAACATTTTCCTAATAACAGATGTGAAGCTAAGTGCGTACTGTTATCTGATTTTTGACTCAGGTTGTCTTTTGTTTCAGGTCATCTTTTAGAAATCCATGCTGTCTCTCTCCAACCTGCTGAAAATTTTCAAAGTACTCCATTACTCTGTCCTTAAGTATGGACTCCATAATTTTCTAACACCAGAAGTTGGGCTAACTGGGCTACAATTCCCTGATCTCTCTTTCACCTTTCTTAAATAAAGAGGCATCACTTACAATTTTTTTCAATTTAAATGGTAATTCCTAAACTGAGAGAACCTTGGATTCTGAAACATTCAAACCTCCTTCCTTTCAAATTCTAGAATGGGAACCATCTGACTGTGTAGATGTCACTCATTAATTCTTAATACTCCTATTTTGCTTATGGTCATTTTGATGTGTCCCTGTCTCTGATTCAATATTAATCTCCTGAGGATGTCAGACAAGTTCACCTCTTCTTCCACTTTGAATATTATTCTTAAATTATTATGGAAATACTAACTTAACTACAAGGGAGACAAATAAGAAACATGCTCAGTTAAATGATAGGGGACAAACAGCATCATGGCAGGGGGCAGATGGCAGGCATGATCCTTTTGTCTAAAAAAATGTTTTAAATGCTTACACACTGAGTATAAGAAACACACTGAGCCAAATATACACTCAAATATAATTTAGAGATTACAACTCTGTGTCCATTATTGAGATATAACTGCAAGCTAGTTATGATAGGAGTTAAATTTTTCAGTTCATCAAATCTTTACAAAGGATACGAGGGACTAACTATTTTGTTTAAAGGTTTTATTACTACGTTATTAAGAAAAGATATGGGTGAAGAAAAACAGTCAGTGGAGACTCCGATTAAAATTGAGGAATGAGAGAGTATTCAAAGTTGCATTGGGAGTTGTATACAGGGTTTCCAATAGTAGCAATGAAGTGGCGGAGACATTAATTCAGCAATTATAAAAGCTTAAAGCATTAGTTTTAAAATAGTGAAAAGACCAGATTACGTCAGGTCAGAAAAAGGTAGTGAATTTCTTGACAGCATTGAGAACAGTTTTTTACAACTGGCCCAAGGATGGATCACATTAGATTTCGTCATGAGGAATGAGCGATACTTAGTGGATAATCAGTAACAGAACATTTAGCTAACAGTGACCATGATTTAATCATATTCAATGTTTGGTTCAAAGGAGAAAATTAATAGAGGTTTTAATAAGACTGAACTTACTAGGATGTTTCAGCAACTGATTGGAACAAACTGATCAAAATTATTGTTTCTTTTCCTCCTGTGGCCCTGAAGGCTGGGCAGATGGCAATTCTTCAGTACCTAAAAGCAGAAACTCAGAAAGGGAAGTTTGGAATGAGGAAAAGGGTTGGGATATGAGGCAGGAAGTTTGTGGCCACATCCTTTGTAGCTTGTTCATCAAGTCAGATCACAGGATGAAAATGATCTGGGTAAGACAGAAACACCCTCAACATTCTCATCAATGCAGGAAGCCTCCTGTAGTTGGCCCGGAGATTCAAACTACCATTTCCTCTTTAGGAGGCATGAGATGCAGGCAAACCTAACCCCCACTCTACTCCATTCTATTGTGTGCCACATTGTCCTCAAAATGATAGAGCAGATTATCAGTTCAGTGTTTCTCGGTTCACTGAGATGACCCTTTGCTCTGCCTTTTCCAGATATTTTCACTTGCTTACAGGAGGGATTGGGCAGTTGATTCACAACTTATAAAGTCACTGGCTTATTGGTTTAACAAAACCACAGTTTACAACAACAAATGAGGGGGAAATGAATTGGTTGATTTTAGAATTGAGGTGGTTTCAACTGCAGAGAAAAGAGATCTGGTGACTTCTCTCAAACATTCACACTCATAAACTGTTCAGCTACCAGAAGCCATTCACATAGTTGTTGGCAGGCAGAAAGCCTTTGTCACTGATAACTAGCTACCACTTCACAGACCAGTCAGCTACTTGCTAATGGCTGAATCTCCATTCATGCATATCCCCTGGTTCCTGTGCATCTGTAACTAGACTTCCCCCACTGCTTGAACCAATAGCTGTATAAGCAATACTCACGATGAGTGTTAGGTAACTTTGTTTTTAAAAAATGCAGAAATCCTAGGACATTCCATATTTTTTAAAATAATCCTTTTCCATTTCAGACCACAATCAAAAATACAGAAAAATAAAATGGTAAGCTCTTTCCAACGCATTCACAAGTCTTAACTGTGAGGTCAATAAACCTTTCATGATCTTGCTGCCAGTCAGACTGCAGAATCCAGAGGTTCTCGAGAACTTCAGAGTGACTGTAATGACAGTAACCTTAGGAGCTATTGACAGTATTGTCCTCTTGCCGTGAGACTGGAACTTCAATTGACAAAGTAGGTCCAGTTAAGTGGTCACCTTCACGGTGGCTCAGTGGTTAGCACTGCTGCCTCACAATGCCAGGCATCTGGGCTCAAAACCAGACTCGGGCAACTGTCTGTGTAGAGTTTGCACATTCTCCCCTTGTCTGTGTGGGTTTCTTCCGGGTGATCTGGTTTCCTCCCACAGTCCAAAGATGTGCAGGTTTGGTGGATTGACCATGCTAAATTGCCCATAGTGTCCAGGAATGTGTAGGCTAGTTGAATTCGCCATGGGAAATGCAGGCTTACAGGAATAGATCGGGGTGGGATGCTCTTCAAGAAGTGGTATGGACTCGATGGGCCAAATGGCCTGCTTCCACACTGTAGGGATTCTATAAATCTCTGACATTGATCCTGAATTGCGCAGAGGGAAAAATGCTGCTTCAGTTCTGATGCAAGTTATCAACATGAACATTACTTTAGTTATTCTTTCCAGCAATGCTGCCTGACCTGCAGAGTATTTCCAACATTTTCTACTTCTATTTCAGATTTCCAGTGTTCACAGTGTTTTGTTTTTGTACTGGTGTTTAGTTCACTGCTACTTCTCTTCCAGGAATGCACACCATGAAGAAGGTCTACTCTTCTCTCCAACAGGATTTTGGCTTGTGGTCATAGGGGCCACAGGGACAGCAACAAAAAGAGAACACAAAGAATTGAAGGAAATTTGTGCACAACACTTATGCAAACACAAAGTTATAACCTTGCCATATCGATTGAAAATCAACTGTACAACGACTTCACAACAAAAGTACAATTGCATGCAAACCAGGTGGGTTAAGTTACTGTTTTTTGCTCAGACAGCTGTAAAAACAGCTTCAGTTTTGAGCTCCTCCTAGCTGCATTTGCAGCAATTATGTCTACACTGATTAAATAAAGCCCATACAATCTGCACCCAGTTTGCACTTTAATTTTTTAAAATCTATTTTCTAACCAACCTGTTCAGAGATGTTATTACACACCTCTGGAGCAGGTGGGACTTGAATTTGTGCATCCCAGTCCAAGGGACAGGGACACTTCCACTGCACTACAAGAGGGCCAAAACATTAGATTGGAGGTCAGCATCACTAGTCCCGTAACATCACTAATGATTCCACCAGCACCCTTCACTTTGCACTTTATTAGCAAGTCATTCATTATCCAAGAATGCAAATTTCAAATTAATGCCTCAAGAAATAATGAGTGCACACTAATTTCCTCCTTATCATGTAAGCTAAATGTGTGCAATAAAAACAAGAAACTTAAAAGAATTTAGAAGTTCCCACTTGCCAACCACATTCAAGAGCATGTTCTGGAGGACAATACATGGTAACTGCTAGATTCTCTCACTGAGCTGTAAGTATACAAATACATGGGCTGTGATGTGTAAGGGAGTTCATACAGTGGGTTACTGGAAGAATTCTATTCACTATGTAATTTAAACATTTTGTTTGTGCACAGTACAATTGCATAAGGTCACATACCTCAGAGATCCTAATGGAGTGATGTTCCCTCTAAGCTGTGCAGCCACACAGTCACACCATTCCCAACATTGACTTCCAGTTCCAGAAGTCTGTGCCTGGACCATGGAGGTCTGTGCAGAAGATAAAAACTTAAAGGGAATGTAGTTATTAAGGCACTACAATTATCATCCTTGTAAGTCTCCATACCACATTATATGACAACATAACATGAAGCTTCTTTATGATGGATGTGAAGGTTCAATAGTTCTTCAATTAAATTGCCTTGTTTTTCTGATATTCCCCAAGATGACCTGCTCACAAAGGTCTCATGGAAAATGCTGCCGCTGGAGTAATTGTAGCCTTGATGATTCACCGAAGACAACACAGAAGGAGGCAGTGATTATGACATCTCCAGAAACCTCCAGCAGCTCCTGCACAGCCTCCAGAGGGAGAGGCAGCAAGTGAGTACCTTACCAAGGAGGAGACCCTATGCCTATAGGCCTTGCTGTCATCTTCTTCAACCTTCTAAAAGACAGAACAGGCACTGATTAAGGATGTCCCACTCCAACATCGCTGAACTATATGGCTTATTGTCAGCTGTAAAGATGTGTCAGTGATGTATTGAATCAACTCAGTGCACCAACTGAGGTTAAAGTTGCTGAGCTGGTGGAAGGTGCAGGTGAACACATCGTCAGTGTGTCCTCTGAGACTTCACTGGTTTCCTCCTCAGAGGTTGAGCTGAGGGACTCCGGTGCTAATGGGTGCCACTAGTACTTGCTTGAGAGAGGAGAGGGAATTAGTTGGAGAAAATGGTTAAAACCTTGTGCAAAAGAAGAATGAGTTCCTTCTAGTGGTATCTGAGAGCAGTACAGCACAATGAATTTTACCAGATTGACTGCTCATTGGTGACTCCCCATCTCCATGAGTGGTCCTGCTCTTCAACAGCCAACTCCACTGTTTTCTCTTTAAAGGGAGTGCGAAACTAGCAACCTGAGAGGGACTACCAAATGTTGCAGTATGCTCCTGCACACCTCCAAGTGATTGATCGTTGACCCAGTGTGGAATTTTTATGTCTTTGGAGCAGCAGTTAAATTGAGAGGTGCAGGCAAAAGCCCAGAAAACCTCTGCTATTGGGCATGTGACAGGGAGTTAGGATGGATAATGTTCAAAAATTGAGAGATCAAATGTACCGACAATTTCATCGAGACAATAACAGACCAGCCAGCCAGATTTCTGAACAGAAGAAGCTTCCACTTAATGAATGTCCAACTGGTCTGTGATCACCTCTGTGATATTGCTTGAGGGATAACTAACGTTACAAGATGGCAGCGGAGTAGGATTCCTAAGCTAGAGCTCGTCCACTCCATCCATTTCTTTTCTTCTTCTTTTCCTCTTTCTGCTTTTTTTCTTCTTTCTTTGTTTTCTCGCTATTTACCTCCATTCCCCACATGGACTCGATGGACTCCTGGCCTTGAGGAAGCCCAGCGTGGACTCATGGACTCCTGGCCTCAAGATGAAGCCCAGCACGGACTCCCTGCTTTAAAACTTTAGGACTGTAACACTGAACTTTTACCTTTATTTCTCTATTTTTCTAATTTATGCCTAACATTTTGTACCTAGGCATCTTTGTACCTAGCTTTGTAAGAACTGTAACGTTCATCTTTTAATTTAATTTCTTCATTTTTCTAATTTATACCTAAGTTTTTGTACCTAGGTATCTTTGTACCCGAGATGACACTGGAAACGGCGACTTTGTACATTTTTCACTGTACTCATGTATCCCTGTACTTGAGTACATCGGACAATAAACCTAAATCTAATTCTAATCAGGGCAATTGATGAAAGAAACTTTGGAACACCGGAGTTCATTATTAAATCCATTATCAAGATCTTTATTGCAGAGCATTTAGAAAGCAGAGGCAGGATCAGACAGAGTCAACATGGATTTATGAAGGATTTAGGAAGATTTTGACAAATCTGTTGGAATTCTATTAAGATGTAACTAGTAGAGTTGACAAGGGGGAGCCAGTGTAATGTGGTGTATTTGGACTTCCATAAAGCATTTGACAAAATCCCGCATAAGAGATTATTGTGCAAGATTAAAGCGCATGGGATTGGAAAAGTGTATTGAGAAACTGGTCGGCAGAGAGGAAACAAAGAGTAGGAAGTAATGGGTCCTTTTCAAATTGGCAGGCAGTAACTAGTAGGGTGCCATAAGGATTGGTGCTGGGACTCCAACCGTTCAAAATATGTATTAATGATTTGGATAGAGGAACAAAATGTACATCTCTAAGTTTGCAAATGATACCAAGTTGGTTGGGAGAGTGAACTGTGACGAGGATGCAGAGATCCTTCAGCATGATCTCGACAGCTTGGGTGAGTAGGCAAATCAATGGCAGATGCAGTATAATTTGGTTAAATGTGAGGGTATTCACTTTGGAACCAAAAACAAGAAGGCAGATTACTACCTGAATGGCTGTAAATTGGAACAGGGGATTGTGCAGTGGGACCTGGGTGTCCTTGTGCACCAGTCGCTGAAGGTAAGCATGTAGGTGCAGCAGGTGGTAAAGAAGGCAAATGGTATGTTGGCCTTCATTGCGAGAGGTTTTGAGTACAAGAGCAGGAATGTGTTTTTGCAGTTACACAGGGCCTTGGTGAGGCCACACCTAGAATATTGTATGCAGTTTTGGTCGCCTTTTCAGAGGAAGGATGCTTTTGCTCTCAAGGGAGTGCAGCGAAGATTTAGCAGGCTGATTCCAGGGATGGCGGGACTGACGTATGAGGAGAGATTGACTAGGTTAGGATTGTTTTCGCTGGAGTACAGACAAATGAGGGGGGATCTCATAGAGACTTATAAAATTCTAACAGAACTAGTGTAGGTGTAGGGAGGATCTTCCTGATGGTGGGTGTGTCCCGAACCAGGGGTCACAGTCTGAGGATTTGGGGTAGATGATTTAGGCCAGAGATGAGGAGACATTTCTTCACCCAAAGAATGGTGAACCTGTGGAATTCATTACCACAGGAAGTAGTTGATGCCAAAACATTGAGTGTATTCAAGAAGTAGCCAGATAGAGCACTTGGAGCGAATGGGATCAAAGGTTATGAGGAGAAAGCAGGATTAGGCTATTGAGATAGGGTCACCGGACCCGAAACATTAACTCCGATTTTTTCTTCACAGATGCTGCCAGACCTGCTGAGCTGTTCCAGCAACTTCTGCTTTTGTTCCTGATTTACAGCATCCGCAGTTCTTTTGGTTCTTATTAGGCTATTGAGTTGGAAGATCAGCCATGACGATGATGAATGGCAGAGCAGGCTTGAAGGGCCGAATGGCCGCCTCCTGCTCCTATATTTTATGTTTCTAACTGTAATGCCTTGAACAGAACTAAGAGATGCCACTACAAATCGATCAGATAAAACCTCTGCATTTTTGCTACATCAAGTGGTGTTTGGTGGTGGTCAATAAGGGACACAGCAGCTAAAATCAGTTCAAGCGTGTAGCTGGAATTTACAACCACAGTTGTCTGTTGTCCTTGAAATCTGAGCCTGGGTATTAATATGCATTACACTCCTGCGTGAGCTGGCCTAAGTAGGTATCTAAACATCGGTCTAACAGGTTTGCAACAGTTTGTCAATAAAGTTCAATTGTGTAAAAAAATAAAATCTACCTGAAGGACGAGATTCCACTCACATCCCGATTTTCGTACACGGAAAGCCCAGCTTGTGAATGCAAAAGACAAGTCTCAATTATTTACAACAGTGAAATGGCAAACTGTACAACTGTTTAGAATCGCCTTCGCGAAAAAAAAACACAAGGTGGGGTGAAAATATGGATTCAAAATTTACAGTTCGAAGTCGGAGAGGAACTAGATTTAAAAGTGAGATTGGAATGAGGAATATAATGGAACAGTTGAATTTAAAATTCGGGTTAAGGTGGGAATTTCGGGAAAAAGAATAGAGAGTTCGATTTAAAGCTGGAGTAAAGACTAGGAGTTGAGAATTAAAGGCTAAGATTTAGGATTGGAATGAATGAATGTGGACAGGAGTGCGCTCGGGGTGGAGTTAGTGAGGGTTCATCCTGGTGCCGCGGGACTGGGAAGACTTGTCCCGGGAGCCGGCACTGGCTGTTCAAGCGGGATCCGCCGGGGGCAGCAGAGAGCCGGCAGCAGTGACAGGAAACTCCGCGGCCTCTCTTGGCTTCCTGTTTACGCGGGCCGAGCCGAGGAGGACCGGACCGGGCCGCGCTGGAGCGGAGCCGAGGAGCCGGTGCGAACAGGAGTATTCAGCGGCTCGACTGACACCTTGAAGCGGCGTCCCGGACAACCGTGAGAGCCTTCCAACCCCGAGACCGAGGAAGAGAGAGAGTCAGGAAAGGCCGCGGCTCGGGGGTGGGGGCGAAAGGCCGGGGCCTGGGCGGCGCTCGGAGCCTGATCTTCTCCTCACGTTCCCCCAGCAGGTACCGGAGGGTTCTCGGGGCCAGGGACTCGAGTGACGAGGCCGATGGGTTTAGTAGCGGGGACGGGAGGAGGAAGGGGAATGGGGAGAACCGGCGCTCTCGGCCGGCAGGAGGTAGAGGCCATTGTCCCGGGCCTGGCGGAGACGGCGCTGCCCGGGCCGGCTGCTGGGCTTACACGGCTGAGGTGTAGCCGATTGCCAGGGGGACCGCCCATTGGGAGCGGGCCGGCGCCGCCATAACTGCTCCGCACTGCAGGCCATGTGCCAGCAGCTGCCTCGGTGTAACCTGAGACCCATGTGCCCAGAGTGTACCCGAGACTGACCTGGCTAAACGCTGGCGCCCCTTGATCCCTGCCCATTATTATTGCTCTATGATGATCGGCATTACAGTCCCCAATCCCTGGCACTGCTGTGCACCGTTGCACCTTTTCATGCTGTTGCACCCAGTCTCTCTGCACTGTTGCTTCTCCGTGTTTGGTATTTCTGCCTTGTAGTGCCCCTTGATCCATAGCATCACTGCATACTATTGCCCTTCAGTTCCTGACCTCTCTTCTCCCATCACCCCTCAATCCCTGCTAGTTTTGCATGCTGTTGCCCCATCCTTTTATTAAGCTCAATCACTAGTAGCTGTTCAGTATTTGGAATGTTGTGCTACATTTGGAGTATTGTGCGCAGCTATGGGCCCCATATCTCAGGAAAGATTTCCTGGTCCTGGAGCCGGTTCAGAGGAGGTTCATGAGAATGGTCCAAGGAATGAAAAGCTTAACATATGAGGAATGTTTGAGGTCTCTGGGTCTGTACTCAATGGAGTTTAGAAGGATGGGGGGGAACAGAATACTGAATGGCCTAGACAGAGTGGATGTTGGGAAGATGTTTCCATTGGTAGGAGAGACTAGGACCTGAGGGCACAGCCTTAGACTAAAGGGGAAGACCTTTTAGAATGAAGATAAGGAGAAACTTCTTCAGCCAGAGAGTGGTCAGTCTGTGGAATTCGCTGCCACAGAAGGCTGAGGAGGCCAGGTCATTGAGTATATTTAAGATGGAGATAGATAGGTTCTTGATTGTCAAGGGTTATGGGAAGAAAGTGGGAGAATGGGGTTGAGCAACTTATCAGCTATGATTGAATCGTGGAGCAGATATGATGGGCTGAATGGCCTAATTTCTGCACCTATGTCTTATGGTCTTATTGCCTTCAACCGCTAACACATTTGTAATTTACTGCTGATCGAACTTCAGCATTTCGACTATTTTACCTCCACCTTTGTGCACGATTGGCTTTCAGTCTCTGGCGGCTAAGCACTGCTACCCTATTCCTTTATGTTTAGTCATTTATTATTTCACAGCCAGTTATCTGCAATCCTTACCAGCATTGAGATTTTTTGTGTGTACTTGAGAAAAACACAGAAATCCTCTGTCCAAGGAACTCTGGAAAAATGGCCCTATATTTTTAAAGTTGTGGTTACAGAGATAAATACTGTATATAATGCTGTTTGAAGCAAACATTTTTGTGTATAATGTTAAGCCCTGTATCCAACAATGAAAAAGACTTTTATGTCTCAGTTTAGTGGTTATATTTTTAATTGTGTTTATTTAAATTAAAACCTTGTTTGAGGCATCAACAGGTGGGAAGTGTTCACTGTGTGACCTGAATTATCTACTTCACCTCCTCACAGTTGTCTATTCTGTTTGTTTCAACTGACAGGAAAATCATGCGCTGGCAAATACAGAAGTGGTAAACATCCTCACCCAAGTGTCAGCCCCTGTGTCTGATGGTTCCCTCACTGTGCTTGGCTTCCATTATTCAAAATTGGGACACAACTTTGTTCCTGCTGCTAATCCCACTGTTCAATTCCTTGTCAAAAGCTGTAGCAAACTGGGGTTCTCTGACTTGCGTTTGCTTACAGTCATGGGAAGGTGCATATCAGTTTTGGTTCAGCAGCAGCTAATTGAAGCAGGAACTGCTGGTTAACTTATTTGACTCAATATCTTCTAGCTGGCTTTCATAACTGCTTTGTGACCAGTGAATAATTACAAATATCTCTCTTCCTGCTTAAAGGGTTGAACTGATAGACAGAAATATGTTGTAACATTGAAGTTAGAGCCAAAAAATAAGGTATCTTAATTTGTGGCAGAACTAAGTAGTCTATGGGAGATATATTAACACAAAATCCCATTTGAAATGAAACCCTTTGGACCAGAATTAGAAACTTTCACTTCACTTCCTTCCTCACAACTCCTATAAACCAAAGTGATGTAATCCAGGCTTCCTCCCAGCAGGAGGCTGTGCATCACATTAGATCTTGTTTAATCGGCAAATTGAATTTTAGAAAACAAAGTACTAGTAATAAATGGTTTGTAGTCAGAGCAGTTCAGAAGACCTCACTCCCTACAGCTCTAAGATACACACAATCTAACTCTCAGAATAATTTTATTGATATAAATCAACACCCAAGTTGGCAAAGATGACAGTAGTACAGTGGTAACAATGCTGCACGAGCAACCCAAACAACCACCAGTTTAAATGTCACCTTGCAGACCAAAACATGGATTGTAAGGAATCTGAGTGTTTGTGGTTTTGTATTGTAAATGAAACTGCTAAGAAATTGTTGGAAACTCAAGTCATCTATTAACGTCCTTTAGGACTGAGCACCCTTACTTGGTCTGGCCCACCTAATTCTAATCCACAGACTGTTAATCTTAAAATCATTGCTGTAAGTAGATCCTCAAGGCAATTGCAGTTGGGCAATGAATTTGTTTTTGCCAGTGTTGCTCACATCCTTAATGTAAAAGGAAGTACTTCCAAAAAGTAGATTTTTGTGTTTTCTTTCTGGATTCAGAATGGCTCTTGTTAACAAGCCAGGAATCAGATACACTCTAGTGTTGTTAGTAACAGAGGTAAACTTCTAAAGCAGCTGACCATGGGCACTTTAGCCTTTGTGAGATTTTACACCAGGGATGTAAAAGTTTCACACTGCAACCTCTTAACTGGAAAAACATGCAACAGTACAATCAGATTCCAATCTTTTACACTAATGGAGCATTAATAGATATTGGCTTAAAATATGTTTTCCCATGGCTCATTGGTATTAATATGTAATTGGGGAGACTCTGTGTAAGCCAATAGATCTGATGCTAATACAACAGTGAGTTTGAAATTGAAGTCTCAATTATGTAAGGGCGTTTTCACCCATTTTTCTGTGCTTTAAGTTCCAGGACTTAATCAGGAAATGATTATCTCCTCCAAAATCCACGGAGGCAGCAGCAGAGTAGCCTATATGCCATACTCATGAAGTTGATCTTAATCAATCCTTTCTTTGAGATGCCTGCAGTGCAGTTGTTGTTTGCTTAATGTTTCTGACCAGTAGAAGAGCCAACATCCCATTTTCTTAATTTTTCGCTGTACTTTAAATGGAGTTATTTCAGTAGGGACTTACTGAACTATACCACATACAGAACTGTCTGCACCAGATTTTCAAGCTTTTACTCATCCATTCTTCGTATTTTAAAGAACACAGTCTCATCTTCGTTCATTTTTTGTTCTTTGAAATACATTCAATGCATACAGTCGGCCTTCAAGGACTAAGTCCCGGTACCAATATATTCCCATTTTTCCTCAGTGCTTTTCAAAACCTGCATACTCCTTTGAATGTAGGATGTCAAAATGTTCCAAATGTAACCAAACCAGTAAGATAAACAAGGTTAAACTAACCTAACTAGTAATTAAATCTTTGACCTATGACCCCATTGGTTGAATAGTGTTGGTAACACCTTTATTATTGCAATTTCTTGAAATCGTTATTCCTTTTAGTTAATGTTATCATATTAAAATGATGATATAATGAGACCCCTCCTACACGCCACTGAGGAATTGCATATAATAGGAACAGGTGGATAACTGGAGTCAGTTGACATTATTGTTCAATGTGCCCTCTTGCTGAGTTCTTGTTTTCCTGTTGATCTTAATGCCATGCCTGTGGTGATTGTGTTACTATATTGAATATCATTGATTTGTGATTTCACTGTCTATCCTTTATCAAACTGTCATGTGACTGTTATCAATTTAAATTGGATTTGTTAACCTTGTGGCCTCATAAACTACATTCAAAGGAAGTAGTGCAATTGGCTGCCTTTGAGTGTGTTTGGATCAAGGATCTGACTGGATTTTAACCATTATGATAACTCTCCTTATGTGACTGGCCTGTAAGGTTTTCTGGATTATGCAAAGTCATAGCTGTATCCTGGAATGAATGCCAACTAACGTTGTGCTTGCTGCAATGGAACATCTCTTCACTATCTACACTGCACTGCAATCACAGTGTTTTTAAATATTACAACTATTACTCCCAGCATGTTGCTCTGTGGAGTTGTGGAATGCGAATACAGTCTTGTTATGTATTGTACGGCCAACGTCCCTCTACTATACCAGATGGTAAAACTTAATTTCTGAAGAAGGGTCTAGACCTGAAACGTCAGCTTTCCTGCTCCTCTGATGCTGCTTGGCCTGCTGTGTTCATCCAGCTCTACACCTTGTTATCTCTTAGTGCTATATTGTCAGGTTGGTGGACAAGGGGTGCTGAAGGGTATAGGACAGTCTGTCACCCTTTCACCCTGACAATGATTCAGTAAGCAATGGATAAAACTGGATCTGTACAATATTCACTCGGATGTGCTTGATTTAGTATCACTAACATTCTATACTGTTAAAAAATTGAAATAAGACTGCAAAAACATTGATTTATTGCATATTTCTAGTGTAGTTTCTGGACCAGTTGTTAACTTTTTGTTGAATGAATGAGACACCGTTGCTTTAAAAATCAGATTCCTGATTCAAACTGAATTTAAGCTGGCAGTGGGGATTTTTTTGTTAATGGATGTGGGCCTGAGGTAAAAACACACAATTTACTGAGGGACATTACGCTGTGACAATCCATCAGTCATGACCAGACAGGTTTTTCCAGGAGCTCAGAAGAATGAGCAGTGATCTTATTGAAACACCAACTTCTGAGGAAACTTGACAGGATAAATGTTAAGAGGATGATTCTTCTCAGAGCATGTAATCGAGAACTGGGGATATGGTTTAAAAATAAGAGCTCCCCAGTTAAGATGGAAATGAAAATTCTTTTCACTGCAGGTCATTAGTCTGTGAAATTCTCTTCACCAGAGATTTCGACATTGAATATGTTCAAGGCTGAATTAGATTTTTGAATCAACAGGCATCATTGATGGGGTTGGTGATGGCTGTAGACAGGAAAGTAAAATTGAGGCCACAATCAGATCTGCTATGATCTTATCGACTAGCAGGACAAAATGGCCCATTTGTGCTTATGCTTTGCAAATGGACCATCTACACTTGTTTCAGTATCCATCAAGTGCCTCCTTCTTCACTAACCCCACATATACATATTTTCCCCTCTTGTCTCTTCCCACCTTACTCAGT